ATATTTGGTAAGACCACTGTGCTGACTTCTCTGAATCTTAAAAATAAGAATTTTGGATTAGAAGAATTATGATTATTAAAGATTAAACTCGTCATGGTGAAAGCTTAAATATTCGCTTTCAGGTTTTCACTCTTATACATTAATTTAATCATTTATTATTTTTAATTTATTTAATTATTTAATTATTTAATTATTTATTAATTTAATTATTTATTAATTTAATTATGAAAACTCTTATTATTTACTATATATTTAAGTATATATTTATATATCGGACAAGAAAAATACAATTCATTAGCAAAGATCGGTCGTATATTTGAACAAAAACTATCAGATCTTAAAAATAATAGTTTTTTTGATCATGATGGTGTTTATTGGCCTGTAGAATTATTTTTTTGGGGGGATTGGAAATTTATATATATAATCATGGGGCTAAATGCTCCAAATTCGAACTATTTTTGTCTATACTGTAATTGTGATACAGTATCACGGTGGGATATGGATCAAGTTTGGGCTAACACAGGAAATTCTAAATGTAATTTATATATTGTATAATTATTATATAATATATTATCAAATAAAATTAATAAAATAAATTTAAATTTAATTAGGCACAAAAAAGCCAGTTTTATTTCCAATGATTGACCACTATATTCCCGATGAGTTACATTTGCTTTTGCGCATATCAGATGTTTTGATGGAATGTTTGTTCAACGATCTGTTTAAAAAAAAAGAATTTGAAAAACAAGTTAAACTGATCGTTGAAGCAGCATTTAAGAGCCTTTCAATTCAATTCGAATTTTTTAAATCGACAGGTAATAAATGGACTTGAACTTCGTTAATGGGCTCTGATAAAAAAAAAATGTTGGAAGAATTTCCGGTAACTCAATTTATTCCCGATGCACGTGGGCAAAATATTGAACAATTATGGCATGAATTTTACCGATTATATAATATTTTACGACAATCACAACTTACTGATCAAGAAATTCATCAATATAAAATTGATGCAGAAAATTGGGTTCGAGCTTTTTGTTGTCTATTTGAAGGTTATATAAATTCGTCACAAAATTTTGAACTTTATCGAAAAGCAGATATAATACCATACATGTATGTATTCGCAAAACATATACCTTTATTTATGCAGCAGTTAAAAGCTAAAGGTCTTTCTTTACAAATTTTTTCTACTTCGAGTATAGAAAAAAAAATCATAATCAGGTAATATAAGCTTGTAATTAAAATTATATTTATACATACTTTCCAATAAATTTATTATTAGATTCGAATATTTTTTGGAAGTACTATGATGGAAGGTGGAAATAAAGAACAATCTGTTGTCTATGATATTATGTCCTTTGAAAATCGGCAACTTTTTTATTTGATTAATAATACTTCTAAAGAGATTACTATACAAAATATCAATGCAAATAATAAAAAAAAACTTATTGTATTAAGTAGCACTAGTAGGTGGTGCTGAATATCCTGAAACATTCTACGGTATCGTTTCAGCTTTAGAGAATCAAAAAAAATCATTATGGGAACTTATACTAGATGGTTGTGTTTATAGTACTGAATTCGAGATGCTAATGAATTGTGAAAATTTAGAAATTCTTCGTATCAATCATTGCGAATATTTGAGACTATGTAGCAAAGTATTAATGATCCTAACAAATAATGAAAATCGGCAAAAGCTAATTTTCAGCTTAGCCAGTTAAATCGGTTAGTCAATTTTTATATTAATGATAATTTCACATATAAACTTTTATCATTACAAAAGTTGTCATACGCTTGGTTAAATTTTATGAATAATTTTAAGTATAAGTAGGACGCCGATAGCGTCCTATAACTTTAAGTTCAGGTAAGGCTAAAATTTAAATCAACAATTTGACATAATGATAAATTTTCAGTGTTACTATTATAATCAATGAAAAATAAAATTTCTTCCATAGCAATGAAACTCATTAAAATGTAATTCAAAGTAATCAAGAATATACTTTATTTTCATATGAACAAAATTATTGATAAAACAAATGTACAAAACACTCGTGATGAATGATAATTTATTATAAGAAGAAAAATAAAATAGTTGCGCAACATAATGCACTAAAACCAGGAACTGATCACAAATAAATAATATTCAAAGTTTTAAAGATTTAAAACTTTAATAAATTATTACATACTTAATACTATAGTTGTCATTGTGGCACATTAATAATTATATAAATTTTGAGTACTGTAAAGTCGCAAACTGTAAATTATATTCTATATTAATCTTTTACTTAAAATTTATTTAGAATTATCCAAAGCTATAGCCGTAGGATTTCATATCACGTCAATTTAAGAATAGTAAGAAAGTTCTATATAAGCCAACATTCTGGTTAAATTTGAAATCATAGATGTCTCATTTATCTGCTTTTTTCAATGCTAATTTTTAAATTGTTAGAGAATTAAAATACATACCACACTTACAAGATCTCTATGAATATTATTATCATATAAAAATAGAAATCTGAGCGCTGTTTCTTAGCGATACATAGTTTATCCATCTGACCATCGTAATTTTGTAAAATTAGCTTCCAGGACTCAAACTTTTATCATTAGCATATTATAAAGTTCATCACTATTTATCTAATTTATGTTAAATAATACCTTCATTAATATGATTATCTGATATCTTCAAAAACTATATATACTGATCAAAATTGAAAAGTTCAGCATATTGATTGGTAGAATTCAAGTGGCTAACTTGCTATTCAACACTATCATATGACTTTATGGACATGCATGTCCGTAAAGTCATATGATAGTGTTGAATGGCAAATTGGCCATTTGAATTCTATCAATTAACATTCTAAATTTTACAAGAAATTGCTTGATTACCTTTTATGATTCCATGAATCCACTGTATAAGTATGAAGAACTATTAAGAGATTAGAAAATCTAAATGTTATAAACAAGTTTTTTTTTTTTTTTTTAATTGAAATATTCAATGATCAAAAATCCAGTGATAAATCTATTATTTGAGTGTATCGCTTGTGTACTATATTTCTAATAATAAAACAGATTTTAATTATCTGTTGAGTTCTTGAAAAGGTACCTGAGGTAATATGAATCTATAATTTTTTTGAGTCGATCCATTACTTGAAGAATCCTTATTTGGAACAACCTCATACACCTGTAGTAGATTCATTACTTCTGGGGTAATGTGATTCGTTTGGAATACGGCGGGCCTAATAAAATAGGTTAAATATATAAAAAAAAAAAAAAAAAAAAAAAAAAAAGCAATACAGTAGAATTTTTTGCTAACAAAAAATCTTTTAGATACTGAAGGATCGTTTTGTTAACAAAAATCCTATATTTGAATTCTTACTGTTGGGAAAATTCTCCTGAATCTGCTACGAATTTACAAGTGACGGTATCGCATTGAAAAATACGATTATTCTCCTTAACTTCTAATTGCGACTAGCTAAAGTTAACTTCATATGAACTCTCATTATCCACAAATAGAACATAGCCGATAGTCTGTAATTTTGGATCTTGTCGAACGTTCCAATTGTTATAATTAATTAGCTATTTTAATCTTTGTTCACCAGCCTCACCCTGAAAAGAACAAGAATACTTTCATTGCACAGGACTATAATGGAAAGAAGGTTCACTTTCAAAAAGAAAACCAAAAATATTTTCTGAAAAAGCATGAATAGAAACTTGTTTTGTGCCTATCGAATGTCTATTAAAGCCAAGACGTTTTTTAACAAGAACTATAAACGCATCTTGATAAAACGTGATTTGCTCAAGGAATGGTTGAATAAGTAACTTGCGATGAGGTATGATCTTGTTATTTTGGTGCTTTATTCTTTCATGAATTACAACCTTTTTTCGAGAAGAAAGAATCTCCTGGCAAAGTTGACACTTACTCGCCATTGGAGTTCTCAACGTATTAGCTAATTCTTCAGCAGTTGCTCTGCTCTGAGATTCTGCGTTTGCATTTATTCATCAGATTCAAAAGTAATAAACTTCGCAAGCTAGATAACGATTATCATTTAAATTCTAGTGATATAATCGAAAGGAATCGTATGATTGGTTAATGTCATGTTTTGATCATCGTATGTGACAAAATCGGATTTATGTGACATATCGAATGGAAATAAATCCGCCCATATGCTTGACTCAATATTATACTTATTATATACTGTATACAGTATCTGCCGCCAAGGGAATACCTGTCATCGGACTTTCAATTGTATTTTGTACCGGACATATTCCCAAATAGATTTTGTCCGGTACGTGACCTTGGCGGCACTCATATGCGTCTAAGCTAATTTAGGTATACGTATATTAGCTATGGGACATCCATATTTACGTTAGACCAGTACAGTAATACGTACTGTAATATATAAAAATAGAGATCTTGAAGATAATTCCATAGTATATACGTATTATTTTTGTATTATCTTTAAGATCCATATAACAATGCTGGTTTAACGTAAATTATGGCCGTCCCCTATATATTAATAATAAATTGATTTATATATGAGTTTAACTTGAAGAATAATTTAAAATCTATATAATTTATGTTTATTTGAAATTTACTTTTGATCTAGTACAGTACTAATTGCAATTTCTTTTTTAAAAAAAAAATACTATCTGGATTATACAGTATTACCTTTTTTTCTACAAGTTGTACGTAATATATATAATTCAATATAAAAAAAAATTCAAATATAAAATAACAAATACTGTAAGGGGAAATATAATCCAGTGGAGATACGACTGTAAATATTTGTCAAAAAAAATCTTCCCTAACACAATATAAATAACCTATACATTGTAGTACTTATAAAGTGGTCAATAAACTGTTAAACGGCTAAGAAGTTAAACGATCATATGCGATTAATATTAATAATCGGTTAGACGATTATATATTTAGTAATGATTAATCGTGTAACATAGTTAAGCGCGGTTCCCAAACTTTAAAACAAGAATGGCCGGGGCAGTTAAAAATGCCGGTAATACATATGTCGACGTAATATCTGTCACTACGATACATATTTATTATCAAGATCTTGACTAATTCTTTTCGATATCAGAAAATGGGTTTATTAACGTCTGTAGGCACACCTCTTCAATGGGAACAGGCCAAACAGTTTGCGCATGAAGTTCGCACTCTCGGGATAAATTATTTCTTGTCAGTTTATGAGAAATTGAAAGAAAAAGAAAATTCTTGCTTAAAATGGGGAGACGAAGTAATTTTCTTTTTACATTGTTATGCTTCAGTCATCTAGTTTGATTATTGATCTGTTTTTTTGGTAGGTTGAATATTTGGTTGTCGTGTACGATGATGAAACAAAGACTGCGAAGTTATCGTTAAGAATTCACGAAATCTTGGATGAGCTACGGAAAGAGGAGGAAGAAGCAATGAAAATACCTAATTCTGGGTATATTATTTTATATTGATTAGTCAAAAATACATGGAATTTTTAACATTTTATATTATTCTTTAGGGAGACGATCAAAACTTTATGGAGACCGGAGTACGGAATATACATGCTTGAAGGTATTGTCGTTGCCTATCACTGATTCATTTCAGCCCATTATTTCCGTTATTTATTATACATTTACACTTATTTAGGCACACCAGGCACACCTTACGGTGGTACTTTGAAAAGTCTGCTTCAAATAGAGCCAAATATGAAATTAAGAAGAGAAATTATTTCAAAATTTTTGAGGCCAAACGAAGTAGCAATTACTTTGACTAGCTTTCCTCGTCTTGGCTGTCCAGGCCAATTTTTGGAACCTCATCATGAACCAACAGGGCGTGTATCGAGAAGTCTGCTTGTACCTGACGAAGTTATTAACCCACATGCGAGATTTCAGTACGATATCTTTATAAATTATTAATAAATTATTTTTTTTTTCGAGGTTATATACTATAATAAATTGTATCATTTTTTAAACAGATATCTAACTGCCAATATCCGAGAACGTCGTGGATCAAAGGTTGCTATTAATGTGCCAATTTTTCGCGATAAATGTACACCCGAACCATTTATAGATCCAACAATTCCCAAAAATCGAAATTTATTTCCTGAAGATAAAGAAGCTTCAGAAGGTGCAGCGTTACCAAATCATATATATATGGATGCTATGGTCTTTGGAATGGGTTGCTGTTGTTTACAAATTACTTTTCAAGCTTGTAACATCGAAGAAGCTAGAAGATTATATGATCAGTTGGCGATAATAGGACCAATTATGGTAGTTTTTCTATTTTTATGTCGCCAAATTAACTTATGTGATTTGAAAATTTGTTAACAATGCGCGTTAATAAATTTCATAGTTGGCTTTAACTGCAGCTGCGCCGATCTGGCGTGGTTACCTTTCAGACATAGATTGTAGATGGAATGTAATTGCTGGAAGTGTTGATGATCGTACAAGAGAAGAACGTGGTTTAGAGGTTTAATTTTTAATCTCAAAACTCGTTATTATCTTATTCAAAATGTGTCGAAGCCCTGACTCATTTAACAAGTTATAGGGTTTTTTTCCCTTAGCCTCTCAAAAATGACCGTTTTGTGATTAATAAATCGCGTTATGATTCGATTGATTGCTACATATCCACAGACAAGACTTTGAAACCGGAATATAATGACCTGGATTTGGTATATGATCGAGATATCTGCAAAAAATTGATGGATAATGGTTTGTATCTAATCATTGCGACTGAATTATTAAAATTAATTTATATAAGAGTTATAATTATATATTTTCTTCTCATTTAGGAATTGATGAATTGTTGGCACGTCACATATCTCATCTATTCATTCGTGATCCTCTTGTTATCTTTAAAGAGCAACTGGATCAGAATGATGACGATCACTATGACCACTTTGAAGTTAGTCTTCATCATAATACCTAATATCTTATTTATTTAGTCTGAAACATTTTTATTAACAAAATATTTTTAGAATATTCAATCTACAAACTGGCAAACCATGCGCTTTAAGCCTCCGCCACCAAATTCAAATATTGGTTGGAGAGTTGAATTTCGTAGCATGGAAGTTCAAATAACCGATTTTGAGAATGCAGCATTTGCAATCTTCATTATACTTTTAACACGTGTTATTTTGAGTTATGGGCTAAACTTTTACATACCAATATCAAAGGTAAATTTTATTCTGCATATTATCTTTTTATTACATGAAGGCTTATATCCATAGTACCAATAATTTTGTTAAATAGGTAGATGAAAATATGATGATTGCACATAAACGAGATGCGGCAATGAGTGAAAAATTCTGGTTCAGAAAAAATGTTTTTGCAGATGGTAATATAATTGACGATGGTAATACCACTCAAGTAAATGGTATTTGTTATAGCCCAATATAGTATCATTATGATTTCAATTATTATGACTTATATTATTATTCTAAATTCCACCATGAATAATCTATTTAGAAAATTTATCAATACCTGATAATGAGACATTGGATTCTTCAAATAATTTCCGTCAGAACGGACATGCAGATACTAATGAATCAATATCATCCGTCGAAGATGAATACGAACAAATGACCATCAATGAAATTTTTAATGGCAATGTAAGCTATAATATTTTGATTTAAATTAATTGATTATTTTAATATCATTAAGTCCGCGTTTCGTGTTTTTGATATAGGGTGATAAATTTCCAGGGTTAATAGTTCTAATAAGCCGATATCTTGAATCAGTAAATATTGACGTTGAAACAAGGTGTCAGCTAGGAAAGTATGTAGATTTTGTCAGTAAGCGTGCAAAAGGTAATTTATGATATCTTTTATATTCTCGTTTATTTTTCTGAATCCTTATGCAAAAAAAAAAAAATGTGGTTTCTTAATAGGAAAAATTCAAACAACGGCAACATGGATGAGAAACTTTGTACAATCGCATCCAAAATATAATAATGATTCGGTTGTATCACAAGAAATTAATTATGATCTTGTGAAAATGGTTGAAAAAATACAAAAAGGTCAAGTAGTTGTACCTGAATTGTTAGGTTGCTTCAAAGTGTAATTGGAAATTCTTTGTAAGCGATACTAAGAAATTCAGAGTGATTACAATTTTTAACTTCATATGTTTCTCAAATGTTAGCATATAGCTATAGTTTTTTGCTGTGTTAAAAGTAACATCGCACGAAATCGGTTATATCAGTGCTAAAGAAAAGTTTGTTTATTTGTATCAAGTTTTTGCTACGTGAAACCAGCGTTGGCAAATTTGTCTATTGATAATCAAGCTTTAGTTTACAGTAATAAAAAAATATACGTAAAAATATTACAGTTTACAGATACTATATGAGTGACGGGCCGCGCGGTCACACACATGAAGCACTGGACCCCGAATAAACGATCAACAAGTTACAGGTAGGACCGTCCCAAATAAAGAAATGATGATCCCGATCATGCATGTTTAGTTTAGCCAATCAAAATTGTAA